TAGCCCTCCCCAAGGACTTTTTTTCTTTCCCTTTCCTTTTTAAATTTCTCCTAGGTAGCCCTATTCTGGCTCACATCTGAGAAACCTCAAATAGAAAGTGGAGATCCGGGTCGAAGGCACCTTCAAGACCTTCACCCTGAACGTTGATTTTGCTGCCTGCAGATTTTTGTCCTGAGAGGAGTCATGCAGAGGAACACCATTCAGTAGAAATAAGGTGTATCCAGAGGTGTGGGGTTTGTTGGGAGAAATATGCGACCCTGGGATGGCATGGGGTCCTGTGTTAATTTTGGTAATAGGGGCTCCCGTTTTCTTACTGGAAAACTGAAAACACATCAAAGCCTTTTATGCTGAGAGTAAATATTTGATTTCTGAATAGAATTCCCGCCCCCTCAGAAACTGAGAGGAACTTCAGGCTCGTGTCCATGGTTGCTGAACGTGCCCTATTCAGCAATTCTCTAGAAGAACAAAGAGGAGAAATTAATTGGCTCCAAAGTGTTGGAAAGAACCAGCATTTGCTGACCTATTTAAGATGTATCGAGGACATTCTAGAGAACATCTCTGGAGTTCTATTCTTGTAAAGCTTCCGTGCTCAAACCAAAACAGGTTGAACAATCACGGGGAAGCCACAAATTACCCCCAGCTCGTGAAAGGGTCCATTGTTTCTCTTCTCTGAGGTCCTCAGATGGTGGCCTCCCACCAACCATGTCCCGGGGAAGGATTCACTCCCTCCTCCCTCTCTTACCCTTCTCTCAAAGCGGGAGGCACAGAAATGGAAATTAGTTAGTCAGCATGTAATAATTGCCTACTGTGTGAAAAGCACTCCATGTTCCAGACTTTAACTAGAGGAGTGGTATGTGGGAGGCACATTGGGTAGCTCATTCAAGTCATAGAAGACACATTCCTGTTGTAGGTGCTTAAACATAGTTGGGAAGGCTATATCTAAATCTATAAATAGGTACAACTGATAGTACATTTGCATTGACCCTTACAAATGATCTTTAAAGATATTTAATCTTCCACCAACTCTGTGTGGTAAGAATTTTTTTTAAAGATTTATTTATTTATGCATACAAGAGCTGGGGCACAGACCAGAGGTGTGGGGGGTGAGAGGATTCACCACAGACAGAGTGGGGAACAGAACAGGCAGACTGAGTGAAAAGCACTGCTGAGGGGAGCAGCGGGCGAGTCAGGAGAGGTCTGCTGCACCATGTGGGTTGCTCGCTGGCTGGCTGGGATTGAACTCTTGCTGCAGATATTGCAGATTGCTTCATAGGTTGCTTCTTAACCCTCGTACCACCAGGGAGGCCTGGTAAGAATTTTTTTTTCAAGGAGGGACATGAAGCTCAGAGAGGTTAAACAACCTGTTCAAAAACCTTACATTATGTAGCCAGAATGGCCCAGAGTTTGCTTGTGCTTTAGTTTAGCGTTCATATAGTACAGTGCTAAAAGGGGCTGCCTTCCACTGGGCCCAGAATTGAAAAGTTGATAGACTACAGTAGGACTCTAAGACAAGATGTGAGAAGGTTAAAGCAGGCAGTAAACTCACAAAAAATAAAGCAAGATAATACAGGGATTCCCCCTAAGAAGATGGATTTGTGATACATAAGATTCAACATCGGGAGAAAGAAGGTTTCTTCAAAGATGGCTCCAATGACATTGTTAGTGGTTAACATAATGGACAGGGTGACTTGTCATCTAGGGAGGACACTTTTGATGAAGCTAGTTAAAAATCTTGGTGAAGGCCTGAGGCTGGCTTATCATAGGCCACTTGCACTGCTTTGGCTCAGTCCCTACAGGCAGGAGAACAGAATACTATCACAGGCTGGTGCGCCATGTGCCTAACCCCACAGTCAGAGGTGGGGTGGTGTATTGCCAGACCAAGAGCAGGGATGCTGGGCAGACAAACCAAAATCTCCTAAATGTAGAAGAGATGACTTTCATCTTGCCTTTGAAAAAAGAAAATTCAGCAAGCAGTTATTGAAAATCTATTATATGTCATGCATTTCATCTGTATCACTTTAATTTTCATGCATGCACACACACACACACACACACAAACCCACTCATTCTCTGAAAGGTCAATGATTCCGCTAGTTTACAGATGAAAAACAAGAGTCAGATTATGTGATTTGACCACAGACAGTAATTTGCAGTCAGAATTTAAATCTAAATTTGTTTCTAATAGGTCTATTCTCGGTTCTATAATATGCAGTCTCTAGAGATTTGGGATATTAAAAAATGTGACTATTAATAGTGGGTAATTATAATGATCATAGCAGAGCACACATGAATTAATGGATTGGTTTTCTTAACCTAGCTATCTTGAGTATCTTGCCACTTATTCTATAAAACATTTTTGAAATTCCTTTTGTGAAATTGCTTTTAGTGCCTGCAATGTATTTTTTTAAAAGTAACTCTCATAACTGCAGTTTTTATATTTTAGGAGTAATTTCTAGAAAAGTCAAAAGTATGGTAAATTAATATAGGTCACAATTTATAGATAAAATCATTTGGGTCCAAACCAGCTTTATGTAAGGGCAGTTTCCTATCTTAGTCAATATTTTTTGACTTCAAGGAACAGACGTTTGGTGAAGTTAACCATCAGAAGAGAGACACATTGACAACAGGCATCTGGAAATGGACAGTCCAAGCATTGAGACAGCTCCAGAACCAAGTTTTACAGGAAGCCCTGATCATTATGCTTATCTGCTCTATTATCCTGACTATTATTACTATCCTGCTACTATCCTGCTACTATCCTGCTCTATTATTACTGACTGACTCCCTCTATTTGGCTCATCTCAGTGTTCTTTGTTATCGAGAATATAAAACCTAATGCAAATTGGCGCTAATAATAAAGAACCTTATTGACACACTTTTTTTGAAAGTCCAGAGGTGGGGTAGCCTTGAGAGTAGCTGACTCCAGAGGCTCAAAAGTATCAAGAGAAAATAGGAGGAACTTTAAATTGTGATTAGACCCTTTCCTTGAAATGCCATGAGTATCTGAGAGAAAGGAATGATGAGTCTATGGATTTCAACACTCAGAGGATCTGAGGAGTGTCTGTGCCTCATCTCTGAAGCTTAACAGCACTCAGGCTGTCATAGGTGGGTTCTCCAGGAAGCAGATTCTGAAACAGTCCCTTAGGACTAACAGGTGACCAAGTTTTCTAACTTGTTAGAGGTGTGGATCAGTCAGCCACAAATAACATCGTGGTGACCAAACAGCAAATGACCCCCGGTGTTCATCTAAAAACCAGTTCTGTGCCAAGTGGACAGCTGCCAAGGGCTAGTGACTCAGGGCTTTGTGCAGAGATGGCTGGGGATCCCCCAGGCACATAAAAGGAATTATCCAGTTCTAAGGGGGAGGTCTTTGCAGCAGGACCTCAAGACTCTAATACCAGCACCACCCATTCTTCAGTTTCAGAAAATTGACATTTCTAAGCAAATAATTGCCTTGTTGAAAAACTAACTGGCCATATAGATGATGAGTCCTGTGAAAAGGTCAGAAAGTAGGAGCAGGGAGTAAAATGTGATCTCTCTGGACATAAAGATTCAGATGAAAACACTGGCCTGGCTGTAGTGGGAAGCACATAACTTGAGGTAGGGGTTAGAGAGCAAAGAGCTACCTAATAACACTTCTCAATGCTGGGTGAGCGTGCCTCTACATGCACAAATCAACCTCCCTGTGCCCTCTCATTTGTACTTTAGCTTCCTTCTTCAAACCTCCAACATTTCTTCCACTTTATTTATTGGTGACCTCCCTATTGTACTAGTCATCGCTTGCTTACACCAAAACTTAGCATCTCAAAACAACAAACATTATCTCACACAACTTCTGGCTGGCTGAGTGGTCTGGTTCAGGGTCTGGTAGGAGGCTGCAGTCAAGTTGTTGCTGAGACTAGTCTCTGGAGACTTGATTGGGGCTGGAAGATCGTCTTTGAAAAGCATTCACAGGGCAGCTGGCAGAAGGATTCAGTTCCTGGGCATGTGGACCATTTTATAGGGTTGCTATGACTTCCCCTAGAGCAAGTGTTCTGAGTGAAAGTGAGAACAAGGACATATTTCTTTTTTAACCTTACTTCTGCCATATTCCATTGATCACCCAGACTCACCCCTGGTACAGTGTGAAAAGGTGTGAACACCAGGAGGTAGGGACCATTAGAGGTTATCTTCTAGGCTAATTGTACTATTCTACAAAATAAAATAAAATAAAACAGCAATCAGAAGAGAACTTCTACAAGCTCCCACCACTGTATTACTCGGATACCAGTTGTCTACTTCTCTGCTATTATCATCGTGAGCCAGTAGTCTCTTGCTATCTCAAGCCAATCCCTTCACTGATCACTAGATCCCATTCTCTGAAGGACAGAGGGGCAAAAACGCTGTCTCTCTCCCGTACAGCCAGCTTCCTCCCTGTCTACTGGGTAATCCCCATCAACAAAAAATATGGGCGATGATCTTAAAAACACCCTCCTATGAGTCTCTCTCCTGTCAGCTACCCATTTGTGTCCCTTTAAAACAAATCTTATCGAAAGATTTGTCTAAAATCGCTGTCCCCAGTTCCTCCCCGCTCTCTTAGGTCGACCTCATCAGGCTTCAACTAAGCTTGCGCCTCGAGGAAGCCCGGTCAAGTCCTCCTTCTTCTACCATCCTTTCCCCATGTTTCTCTCGACTGGGACCCAGGCCCGCCCCATCATGTCAGCTCTTCAGCGGAAAGGGTCCTTTCCCTGGCGGATTTGGGAAGCTGTTCAGCGGCAGGAGTATCGCCGCGCCGCCCGCCTGCCAAAGTCACAGGCGCCAGGACCCCTCCGTACCAGCCCCTCCCAGCCGCCATCTCGCCCACCCGTGTCCAGACAGGAAGCGGAAGTGACGGAACACCGGGGCCCTAAGTCCCGCCCCTCACAAGCCCCTGCCCCCGGACGTGATGCAAACGGGGAAAGCGGAAGAGGTGGACATAAGACTTGGGGCGGGGTAGGGGGGGGGTCCGGGGGAGGCGGGGCGAGGCGGAGTAGGGCTGCCCACCCAAAAGTGGCGGTTTATTGGAGGCGGTTACCTTGGTGTCCCAGGAGTTTGAGTCCCTAGCGAGCTGCCATTCTTTACCCCGCCGGTGCTACCTCAGCAGGAGTGCGACCCCAGTGCCTCAGAAGCGGGCTTTTATCTGGTCCGGGACTCCCCGCCATTTAGCGCTTCCCCCCATATCCGGATACCGATTATTTGGACTCTGCCTCAGACCCAGGTTCCTACCTGCAGGCCCTTTTCCCTCTGGCTGCTCCGGGCATTCCTCCCTTTCCTGCGTTGTGCCACCCCTGGGCACGATCTTCGTTTTCAATCAGATCTTTTTTCTCTCCCCTCATCCTCCTTTATTCCCGCAGACAATCTAAACCTTTCCTTCCCTTTTAATTTTTTTCCCGCTTCTCTTTCCTTCTTTCCTCTTTCCCCCAAATCCTTGTTCCTCCACTTCCTGTCAGGCTTTTGCCTCCTCCAGGGCATCTCCGTTTCAGACAACGGCTCAAGTGTTAGGAGACTGGGCTTTGAATGCGGTCGGTTGAAGATTTTGAGTTTTTCCTTTCTTCTAACCAGGAATCGCAGATGCCAGGGAGTATGGCCCCTCTCAGGAAGCCTCGAAATACAAGGGTGCCCCTGGCTTTAAACCCCCTGAAGAGCAAGGACGTGCTGGCAGTGCTGGCTGAAAGGAACCAGGCTGTAGTACCAGTTGGGGCATGGGTGGAACCTGCCTCGCCACATAGTTCGGAAATCCCAGCATATGTGAGTCAGTTTAATCCAAATATGGTGGGGTTTCTTCCCCCAGCTTTTTTTTTTTTTTTTTTGACTAGTCTTCTATAATCCCTGGTGCTTAGATAAAGATGAATAGTCTGGAAATGTTGTTTGTACTCTGTTATAAATATATTTTGTATTCAGATAATTAGAACAAATATATATTTTCCATAACTTGCAGCTTCCTTTATCTGCTTTAATAAAATAGTAATTACACACACACGGATATATATTTCAGGTTACATCACAAATTCTTGATGCTGGCATTCACACGACCTAGGTAGGCACTGTATGTACATTCTAGACCCCACAAGGTAGGGATGACTGTTGGCTACACTTCATGTGACGTTAACAGATTGTTTAGAATTTCTGATAAGGAGATTTAGTAAGATTCAGATGCAATAAAAAAAAATAAAGAGGAAGAGATTCATTCTGATTGGAATTCTCAAAGTTTCACTATAAATTCCATGAGAACAAGGACCTTTATGTTTTATTCATTCCTGTCCTGACATATAGTAGGTCTTGTGGAAATAGTTCATGAATGAATGAATCAATGAATGAATGAGGAAATATCGTCAGTCCTTAAAGAACAGAAAGACTAGATACAGATGGTAGAGAGGACACTGCAAATGAAGGGAAATTTACAACATCTACAAGTGTGCCTGTTTACATGGTGACTTTCATACTTAGTAATTAGCTAGTGAGAACAATTTTGTAAGATGTTTGATATTTTACTGAACTGTGCTTCTTAGTCATGTTCACATTTCGTTGTAGCACTTACCACGTGATATTTAGAGTAAGTTGTTTACATTTCTACTACTCTACATCCCCACTTTTGCCTTAGTTCTTAATAAATATAGGCATTTGGTTAATACAGAATACACAAAATGTGTGAAGGTCTTCTTGAATGTCTAGACAGGGTGCTGCATGTCAGGTGAAAAGTGTGAAGTTTGTTCCCTTAGTGATCTTTGATCTCAGAGAAGAAATGACACACATTTTAAAATAAATGTCATTCATTTATTTTATTCATTCATTTTACTTAGCTTTGTGTTATGTATATATTTATTCATTTATTCCTACTTTAGCTATATTCAGGAAGGATTTTAACAGTCTGGGTGTAGTATAGGATTAAATTCTAAGACTACGATACTTGCAAAGAAGAAAGGTACAGCCTTGGGTTGATGTGACTAAGGAATGTTTAATGAAGAGTTTGGATAATCAATGAAAAGAAGGGGATGATTCTCCAATTAAGGAGATTGGAGAGAGTAGGATATAAGAAAGGTATGTTCAGGATCCTAAGGGTGGCTGAGACTTCATTGACTGGAGTGGAAGGTTTAGTGAAAAGTTTAGAGAGGTTGACAGGATTGCGGAAAATAGAGGTAGTAGGAAATTTTGAGACAGGATTAATTTCATTCATTAGTTAGCATTTACATATGAATTTCATGACCAAGCAGTGTTTTGATTAGATTAATTGCTTCTAGGTTTTTGAAGTTTAGGAAGAGATTGGCTACTGGGAGACAAATAAGGACATAATCATAACAATTTAATAATGTGACTAAGTGTAGCATCAGGACTTGCTTAGCGGTAGGAAATGGAGTGGGAAAGTCTGGAAAGGGGTGGCTGAAGTGGGGATGAAAAGGGATAAATGCAAGAAATATCTCAGAAGAATCAGTAAGATTTGTGGTATACAGGTGTTTTGGTTTTAAGTTATTGACACCTCTTCCTCCCTTCACGCCACTTCCCTCTTCTTACTCCCCCTTGTCCCTGGGCTAGGCCTGGCTTGTTTTGTTACAAGTACTTGGGCAAGATTGTTAAAAATGCACTTTCATGTGCTTCCCCACCGCCCCACAGAAGACTGAGTGGATAGGGCTAAGCCTGGGATTGTATGCTTTTCAAAGTCTCCCATTCCTACCCCCTGAGCTCTGGGACCTCTTACCCCTTGGGAGCTTAAGTTGCATTTTCTGTAAAACGAGGATTTGAATTATTTGCCCTCTCCTGTAGGATAAAGGAAGAGATGAGAGGTGTCAGGAAGCTTCTGGCAGGAAACTTTCGATTAGGAGAGTTGCTCTTCGGAGTCATGAAGTATGTCCGTCTTGGAGGCCCTGTTACGGATAACATTGGCAGATGCTGCTTCTGCATTAGGCTTTATTTCTTTTCTTTTAAAAATTATGCATGATTTATTGTAAGGATTCTTTAGAGCACAAGTGCAGGATTGAAACAACTGAGATTCATGAGGGGCTTGTACTTTTTAAAATTTATTTTTATAGGCTATTTTAAAAGATTTTTATTAGGTTTTGTTGGGGCAACATTGGTTTATAACATTTGTGTTGCAGAAATATAGGTTCCCCCTTTTCAGGTGTTGCCACACAGCACCCACCACCAAACCACCCATAGCCCACCACCATATTCCATTTTGCTTCCGGCTACTTTGTTCCTGTCCCTCTCCTTTGAAATTTTTTTAAATGAGATATAATTGACATATAACATTTTATTAATTTTAAATGTATAATGATTTGATATTTGTACATATTGTGAAATGGTTACCACAATAATATCTATCATCATACATAAAATATTTTTTTCTTATGATGGGAACTTTTAAGATTTACTTTCTTTGCAACTTTCAAACATATACCACAGTATTATTAATTATAGCCACCAAGCTGTCCATTGTATCCCATGACTTATTTATTTTATAACTGGAAGTTTGTACCTTTTGACACCTTTCATCCATTTTGCCCGCCCCCTACTGCCTATCTATGGTAACCACCAATCTGTTCTCTATCACTTCAGTATGTGTGTTTGTTAGATTCCACATAGAAGTGAGATCATATAGTATTTGTCTTTTTCTGTGAGACTTACTCACTTGGCATAAAAGTGCCATAGATTCAGAACCCCCCATTAGTTAAATTAGCATCAAGACAGTGCACTTTTATCAGCATATATGGCTATAGCATTATTTTATAATTCATTGTATTTATTTGATTATTGAATTAAATTATTATTTTTTTGACATTGTATCCTGACTGCTTTGTATTTTTTTAAAGATTTATTTATTTATGGATACAAGACCTGGGGTACAGGACATAGGTGTGAGGGGTGGGAGGATTCATCAGAGATAGAATGGGAAGCAGAATAGGCAGACTGACTGAAATACACTGCTGAAGGGAGCAGTGGGCGAGACAGGAGAGGTCTGCTGCGCCATGTGGGCAGCTCCCTGGCTGGGGATCGAACTCATGCTGCAGAGGCTCTGGATAGCTTCATAGGTTGTGTCTTAACCCCTTGTGCCACCAGGGAGGCCCTGCTTTGTATTTATAACAGAGCCCTAGTGGGCAGAGCTGCTGACATTTAAATTTATTTTCTATTTTTCATCTTTAAAGACTTTAGCATATAAGATTGAAGAAGAACTAAAGGAACAGCTAAGGAAAAAACAAGAAGCTTTGAAGCATTTTCAGAGACAAGTCAAACACCGAGTAAATCGACAAATTAGACTGAGAAAAAAGCAACAACTTCAGAGGTCTTCTGAAGCTGTAAGTTAAAAAAATGAACCTGAGTAAAGATTGACTGGAAAGTGTGTTGAGATAGGTTATTAGGCAGTAACAGAATCACTTCCTTTGATTACATGCTTTGTATAATCTGCTTTACTACTGAGTGTAGATTTTTATTTAGAGAAACTGTTTTATTATTGTGTTGTTTTGATTCACCTTTTTGCCTTCACTAAATAGTTAAAAACAATGTGAGAGTTTGGGACTCAGACTTGGATGTGAATTCTGGCTTTGCCATTTACTAGCTTATGTGATCTTGGACTAATTACTTAAATTTTCTGGACTCTATTTTCTTCATCTTTAAAATGGGGATATGATACTTCTCTCAGGATTGTGGTGAGAAATAGATAACGTAAATTATTAACACATGGTAGGTACCTGGTAAATGCTAGTTCCTGCCCTAGGTGAAGCTTCCCTGTTTCTCCCCCAACCCAGATCCAATTTAGGCTGCTTAGAGGCATTACTTGATTGCATTGGATTGGAGTGGACTCTCACTAGAAGCTCACTTTTTCTTCCTGTATGCAGGCAGAAAAAGAAGATTCCAGGGTCATGAAGTCTTCAGATCCAATACACTTAACTCCTAAAAGAACAAGTGTTTTTCCAAAAAAATTGAATGCTGCTATTGGAAATGTTAGCTTACTGTCTTCCCAGAGGCTTTGGGATGGAATAGAAGACAGAGAGAATCAGAATGAGTTATTTCAACAAGCCCAGCCTGTAAGTACATATTCATTTTATGTCTTAAGATTTTTTTTTTCTTATCCACTAAAAATATGACATATCTAGGACATGTAGTAGTAGAGATTAAGAGGTATTATATCCAACTAATTCACTTATTATTTCCTTTTTATTTCTTTTGTAAAGTGGGTTTTTTTTTTTTTTAAAGATTTATTTATTTATTTATACAAGCACTGCGTACAGTCAGAAGCGCGGGAGGGTGAGAGAATTCACCAGAGCCAGAGCAGGGAGCAGAGCAGGCAGAAGGACCAAAGTACACTGCTGAGGGGAGCGGCAGGAGAGGTCTGCGGGCCATGTGGGACCCTCCTCCGGTGGCTGGGGAGCAGGTATCAAACCGGCGCTGCAGAGGCTGCGGGCAGCTTCGAAACCCAGTGCTCAACTGCTGCGCCACCAGGGAGGCCCAAAGTGGGGTATTTTTAACAGTGGGATAAATTTTACTTTTTATATTTTAAGTTTATACTTATTTTTGTAAGACACTTCAGAATGATCTAAAGAAAGATGCTAATGTGTTAAGAGTTCAAAACTTATTAGAAAGAGTTTTATATAAGTCAAAGAACATAAATTTTTCCAGTTACACTGAAATTGTATTATAGATAAGTCACTATCAGTTTGTAGCATATGGATAGAAGTGATTCCTAAACTATATTACAGAGAGGTTCAGTAGATATATGGGGCATTTCATTCACTGTTTGTGTCTTTTTTTTCTGTCCTTTAATCTGATGACCTGTAGAGGCAGGACATGCCATTGAGCAGGTTTTCTGATCCAGCAGACCGGGTAAAGGAGGAGTCAGAGTCCTCAGTGGCTTTTGCAGGTCTTTTATTTAGAGTTACCAGGCATATGGCAGGCAGGGGTCCTGGGGGGACGGGAGGCTGGCAGTCCTCCAAGCCCCCAGCAAATCTTCACTATGTGGGCTCTCTCTGGCGTTCTCTCTGCTTCTCTTCTTCTCTCGGCTTCCGTTCTTGTCCCTACGATGCCGCCCTTATAAACTTAGTCTCCCAGCCCAGGTGTACCACTTCAGGTGCCTGCCATCAGGCATGCATTCAGGACCACAGGGTTCCCTCATCTAACCTAATGGCGGGAGGGCAGAAAAGCCTGATACTTTTTCCTTACCCTATAGTCCACCCCCTCAGGGTTTTCTGCCATACAATCTACACAAGTCACATGCGTTTTTCTTGGCAATAGAACACTGCAGCAGTGGCCCACAAAAACAAATAATGTGCATCACAGTAGAACAACAAAATACATAAAATACAACAGAACACAAATAATTCCAGGCAGGGCACCAACCTAGTGGCAAAAGACAATTATTGGCACCAGCAGATGAGCCACCAAATCTGCTGCCGAACGCACTGCTCGTACGAGGGAGGGGAACCACTCACGGCATCTACGTAACACGCCAGGAGCCGTCAGGCTTCCTGGCCTTCTCTGGCTGTAGTCTCGGCTACAAGCCACACACCGCATCCATCCCCAGGATGCACTCACTCTGGGATTGGCGATTCTATTCTACTGTTGGGGGTAATTGCCAACCCTCAGGGTTTCTGTCTGTGGTCGCTCCAACACTCGGCTTTCACAGCTACCAGTGCGACACGCAGACCCCTGCACCAGGCCGACCCCTGCACAAGCACTTGGGTCGGGGTTCCAAACTCTACATGTGGCCTCTCTCGGGTCCCCTCTTCGGCTTGGGCTCCACCCCAAGCCACGTTCCCCACCTGTCCCCCAAGGACGGGTTCCTCAGCTCCTCACCCTCACTAGAGAACGAGCAGGGCATCTCCCACAGGTGATTTTATGAGACTCACTGGCCTTCCTCAGCTTACTTAGTGCTTAACAGCCACTCAGGGCTTCCCAAACTTAGCATCACTACCAGCTTTTGCCTTCTCAGTTGGCTTTTCTCCTCTGCCTAGCTGCTGGGTATACACAGGCTGCTTTTGGCCATCAAGGCCCACTGGCCACCCCCAGATTCCCATCTCCTGGGGTTTACAAATGAAACTGTTCCACCCCCAGGTCCCAAAACATATCAACCTGCTAAGGTTCCTCTGTCTTCTGGCGGTATCGTCAGTCCAAGTCCATCAGTCCAAGCCCTTTAGTCCAAGTCCATTAGGCCTCTCTCTGCCATCAGCACTGGCAAGCTCCGAATCGTGGTCCTCTCTTCCCCGACGATTCTTGCTGCCTCGGGGGTCATTGGCTGGTCCTCTTGGGCATCTCCTCCTCCAGGCATGGTCTTATCCCGTAGCTCCTGGACCTTGTCCATCTCCTGTGCCGCCATGATGCCTCCAGTGTCGTCACAGGCAAACACAGTCTGCTACTCCTCAGTCCCTCCAGGTCTTCGGAGGGCTCCAATACCCGTCTGCATGGATCATCTTGCCGACTTACACCAATTGTAAGGCAGGAAGGGACACTAGGCAGGTTTTCTATGATCCAGCAGACCGGGTAAAGGAGGAGTCAGAGTCCTCAGTGGCTTTTGCAGGTCTTTTATTTAGATTTGCCAGGCATATGGCAGGCAGGGATGCTGGGGGGCTGGGAGGCTGGCGCTCCTCCCAGCCCCAGCAAATCTTCACTTTATTGGGCTCTCTCTGGTGTTCTCTCTGCTTCTCTTCTTCTTCTCTCAGCTTCCGTTTGTTCTTGGCTTCTGCTGGTGTTCCCATGACGCCGCCCTTATAAACTCAGTCTCTCAGCCCAGGTGTACCCACTTCAGGTGCCCGCCATCAGGCATGCATTCAGGACCACAGGGTTCCCTCATCTATCCTAATGGCAGGAGGGCAGAAAAGCCTGATACTTTTTCCTTACCCTATATGACCTTAATAAATAGATCTATGGATGAAGTAATACTAGGTGTAAGGGGCAGGACAGGGCACAAGGCAGGTTTTCTGATCCCATGCAGATCGGGTAAAGGAGGAGTCAGAGTCCTCAGTAGTTTTGCAGGTTTTTTATTTGGGGTTCACCAGGCATATGGCAGGCAGGGGTGCTGGCTGGGGGCTGGGAGGCTGGCAGGCCTCCCAGCCCCCAGCAAGTCCTCACTCTATCTGGGCTCTCTAGCGTTCGTTCTGCTGCTTCTCGGCTTCGGCTGCGGCTGCTGCTGGTGCTGGTGCTGGTGCTGCTGGCGTCCCCCCGTGACGCCGCCCTTAAAAGCACAGTCTTAGCTCAGCTGAATCCCATCTACCTATGCCCACACCCTATTCCAGGTGCCCACCATCAGGCATGCATTCAGGACAAGGATCCATCATCTATCCTGATGGCGGAAGGGCAGAAAAGCCTGATATTTTCTTTACCCTACACTAGGGTAAACACTCAATGTATCCAGTGTTTTTTAGTGTAACTTTTTATTTATTTATTTTTAAAGATTTATTTATTTATTTATACATACGAGCAGTGGGTACAGTCAGAAGCGCGGGAGGTTGAGAGAATTCACCAGAGCTAGAGCGGGGAGCAGAGCAGGCAGGAGGACCGAAGTACACTGCTGAGGGGAGCAGCGGGCGTCAGGAGAGGTCTGTGCACCATGTGGGACCCTCCTCCGGTGGCCGGGGAGCAGCCGGGGATCGAACCAGCGCTGCAGAGGCTGCAGGCAGCTTCGCAACCCAGCGCTCAACCGCTGCGCCACCGGGGAGGCCCATTTTAATGTAACTTTTTAAAGTATTCATTCTGATATTTAAAAAATTGATCATCATGAGTAGATTAACCCACTCAAATCACTTAACATCATTCAATCAGCTCCCTCCTTAGTATACCTGAGCTTTTGTCCAATTGATATCATATTCTTCAACCCTGCTATGGGAATAATTCTTCACCTTATCAATTAAAAATGTATTGCTAGGCATAGTGAGAAGAGGGAAAATGATCACAATGTGAAAATGAAAATTATATAATGCCTAAGCTAACATGCTTGGTCATAAGTATGAAGCAAATCTGTGCCATTATTAATAATAGGAGAAGTTTTAGAAACATGTTCTGTTGAAATGCTTAAAATTTTTTTTTCTTTGTCAAAGGCTATGATTTTTCTTGTTTGGTTTGTACTAGCTGTATTTATAATCATTTTTGTTTGCTCTTTTAAGATTATGAATGATTTGTTTAGAAAATATTGAGCCAGGTACTATATAAAGTACAAAGGATGGAACATTGGTTGACACAGTTCTTTCCTACTGTGGCTCTTAAGTCCCACTGTAGTGAGTACTTTATTTGATCCGCATAACACTTGAATCACAGATACTTGAATCTACACTGTTAGTTAAACATTGTAGGGATACTAATGAATGTGAATTAGAACTTTCAATGGATTTATATTTCTAAATAGAAACCCTCAAAAGCTAATAGACCCCCAATCTAAAATGGAGATATTTGCTGTACTTGGACTGCAAAATTTTTAAATTTCAAGGAAATAGTTGGGAAAGAATTTCTGAATAGGTGGAATTGAGCTATGTATTTTGAGTTGGTAAGCACAATTGAATTGGTAAATTCAAGAGAATTTTGAGTTAGGAGAGCAGATAAAAGCATAGAATATGTAGTGAGTTTGGAATACTTGGGATTAGGTGATGGAACTTTTCTAATAGTTTAATAGCGGAGAATAATAAAGTGAGTGTGGGAAGGAGGAAATCAGCTTATGAAAAACCTTAAATGTTACAAAATTTAAAAAGTTTTTATAATCTTTTTTTTTCCTTAAAAGAAGATAAACTACTGAAGAATGTTTGGTGACTTCAACTACTTTCAACCTACGCACTTTTGTCCATACAATGTCATGACAATAGTTGCTTTTTAATCTTACTGTTTCTTTGCAGTTTTTATCCACTAGATGTCACTAAGAACTAGGCAGAGAAACTAGTCAAGCACCAACTTTCTTGATTTATCTAGAACTAATTGAGTGAATAGTGAACATAATTTTCTTTCTGGATGTTAGTGGACTTTTCAGTTTTTGGGGGGTCAAAGCAATAGAAACATAGATTCTTGAAGTTGGAAGTTCATCTGACATATCGAAATATTTAAGGATGAAGTAATTTGATATCTGGGATACATTTCAAAATAATACAAGGGTGAGGTAAAGTTGGGGCTGGGGGTGGGGTTACAGAACATGATTGGCCAGAATATTGATATATTTAAAGCTGGTAGATGTGTATGTGGAGGTTCATTATAGCATTCTGTCAATTTCTCTATATGTTTAAGTTTATTTAGAAGAGATACTACTGAGTCTAACCTTTGTCTAAGGAATTATTTTTATTACGTCTCTGATTTGTACCTAGGGCCATCTAGTTTCTGCCACAACACTTCCCTTTGGGCAGCTCTTTACTTTTTCAGACTGTTCCTTTAATCTTTAGAAGCTTTGAAATTCGTAGAACTATTTTTCAACATATTTAGTCAAAATCTTCACGTAACTTTTACCCATTGGTCCTAGTTTTGCACTTCCATTAACAGAGACTAAAATAGCATGAACATTTAAGAATACTTCAAGTATTTGGTTGTATCTATCAATTTCCTCTTTTTGGGTTTCTACTTTCTTTCAGTCATTTTGTTATAGGACAGGGAGAGGGGCAGCCCAAACCCCGCAAACCTGCCTATTCTAAATGGGTTCGGCCATCCACCGCATCAACACAAAACACATGAGACTAATGGGAAGGATCTTTAATAAAACTAGGAAACAATACAGGTAAGGCAAAGAGTCTAGTTTCTAAATGAAGCACCCAAAGTTACCCGTCCCCTCGTGGGTAAAAGTCCATTCATATGGGATTGGCCCAGAGCAAGGCCCCAAAGCCTGCCACAAGTCTAAAGCATCTTCCAGTGGGGACCCACAGAAAAGGGTCACAAACAACTGGACAAGCCCGGAAGGAAAAGAGCAAAATCAACATCCAGATAAAAGCTGCCATGGTCACCTCCCCACGGGTCTCACCCACATCTGTGTCACCCAGTCCATGACCAAAAGACAAGCGCAGTTTTTTCACGTGTCTCTAGGCTCCATGCACCTCCTCCAGGTCTTCTGGCTCCATCCTGCTCCTTCCTTCCTCAGTCTCTTCTGCAGCTTCCCCTCTTCCTGCTCAGCTCCACCCTCCCTTGGGTGGGGCAGGGAACCTGGAACCTCCCCCTTTCCTGGGGACCACCCTGTTACAATTTTTTATATAATAGTATGATTTCCAGAGTACAGACTCTCAGATTAGTCTTGGTTGATTTCTTCTCAATGCCATTTAGTTTTTCAATGCTCTTTTCAAATATGACCTTCAAAACTGAACATATTACTGTGCTGAATGTGATTTTGCACTCCATCTCATCCTCCACTGATAATATACTTGGTATTACCTACTTGTTCTAAGATCAGATAAGATTTGACACCTAAAGTTAGAACCTAAACTAAAGCTGGAAGAAATTTCAAGTGATCACATAAGATAGAATGAGCCTTCTCTGCGGGAACTAGCCTAGGACTAATATTTACCTCCAGTACTGAGTTTCTCTAGTATCTCTTGTTAACTTCATTTTGGTGGGGACTTAAAGAACAATTGATCATCATTTTTTTTTCACCATATAGTGACTTTTTATTTCTCTATTGACTATTAAATATAGCATGGTATATTCCAACTTTTGATTTGTTTTGCACTGAATTTTGTCTTATTCTACTTTTAACTTTTATTTTCTATAATACAGGATTTCCAGCTTTTTAAAGCTGGAAAACTGTTAATTTTGTTAAGTAAAGTATTAAGTAATATGAAATAACATGCTAAATTTTCTGTAATTTATCATTGAAAAAATTAATTAGGCTTTTTGGACTGTAAGAATTCAGGCTAACTCAAGCAAGTGCAATGTTTTTTACAGAGTAAATGAAATATATTTTATTTGGGGTGTAAAAGCAAAATCAGAAATCCAAATTCTCTAAAGGAGTCTATGACTGAAGACTTTTTCTGCATTTGAGGTAGCTCCAGTGATCCTAACAGCATGGAATCTTTGATTTTCATACAAGTATTTAATCATTAATTTGATTGATTCAGTTGTTCTCATAGGGTGACCAGCCTTTCTCATTTGTCCAAGATTGAGGGGTTCCCAGCATGAGAATTTCAGTGCTAAAGCTGGGACAGTTCCAGCCAACTGGGAGAAATGGCCTCCACGTCTCTACCTGTGTGCTTATCATTTATTTACTTATTTTTCTATTACTATCTGGTATTCTCTTCATCATAGCTCTGAAATGTTCATATACTTAAGGCTCTTTTAGTCTCTTTCTTCATTTGGAACCGTTTAGGTTCAGTTCCTGCCTCTGGCTTTTTCTTCTGAATACTTCCTAGTCCATTATGTAAGATAAGAAATCTTTTATTTGCCCAGCTTGCTTATTTGTGTTAAGTCTAGGTTAATGGCCAGCATATAGCTTGGTATGCCTAGTTAGTGATAAAAGAAAGTTAATGCAACTGATCATTGCATTGGTGTTCATGGGCTATAATAAGTGGCTCATGTGTGTTGAAGTTTTAATTGTATAATATTTTTGTGGCCATTGAAAAGTCTAATACATTTGAAAATCAGTATGTAATCATTTACTAATAAACTTCTTTGTACTTGAATAGAATTCAACTTTGGGTAGATTTTTATGGTATTATTATACTTTCAAAATTGATATTAGGCTTCCATGGCTGTAGAGTGGGTAAATTTCTATAAATGTTAGGTCTCATCTATACTCTTTTCCCATGACCTACATAGTATTACTGTACTGTTTTACTTAAAAGTTATATTTCAATCAATCTTTTAGATTCCTAATTGTCTAAAAAAAGTACGTGAACAAATTAAAAAGAACTGAAGAAAATAAATCAAAAAAAATTTTTGGAGGCACAATCTGTGCAGATTTGTGAAATATGTAATAGACTGCATCTTTGAAAAATAAATTAAGAGGTGTTTTTATTAAAAAATGTATTTAAAATTTTTAATTTCAAAGAAATTAAAAGAGGTGTTTACTAAAGTTTCTAGGTGGAGATAAGGAGTGGACATATATATATTTATATGTGAATGAAAAAGTCAACAAATTTAATATTAATATTCATTATTTGAACAAATTGGTTCTATTATGATATTTGAGTTTATGTTCCAAGTTAACTTAAGAAGATGTTTTAGAAGGAGGGAACTTTGAGAAAAGACTTTAAATAGTTGTAATCTTCAAATGTTAGGATTGGAGAAGGGATTTGTGTAAATAATAGAAGGTTTTTAGAGAGACTAAGAATATTAGTGAAGGAATATTGAAAGTGATTAGGCATGCAAGCAAGTAACTTCTTATTAAGAAGATGGATAGACTGTAAGAAATGCACCTGCTCAGTAATATCCAAGTGTATTAGTTTAGATTTTTAGATTCTGATATTTTTGTGTTTATACTTAATATAAAGTATGTATTATTATAAAACAGTACTTATGGCAAGTTATGAAATTCACTCTTTTAGAATAATGAAAAAAATGTTGTAAAAACACTATCAGCAGATCAAAATCTCCTTTGCAAGTAATCCTCTTGTCTTAGGTCTGGCATTTTTTAATAATAGGGACCTGTTTTCCTGTTGGAACACTTAAGTGAGTTTGGTATTAAGACTTTAGCCTTTTTTTGTTTGTTTTTTTCCCTCTCCCTGGCAGCTTAGGCAGTCCATGAAACAAGCACGTCACCGACTGGCATCCTTTAAAACAGTGAGTAAAAAAAATGCATCAGAGTCTCCAGATAGTAGAAGGAAAAGCGTTTCCACTCAAGAGGTAAATTAATTTCTAATAAATTCTTTTAAAAAATACAGATAAAGGTTTACTTACATCTCAACATTACTTAGAACTATAAAATAATCATCCTCTGAAGACAAGGAAAGTCTGTGATATAAAGTTAAGTGAAAAAAGCAGTATACAAAATTACATACAGTAGAATTTCAATTAAAAAATTAATTGAACAAACATCTATGGAATGCCTATAATCGCTAGTCATTGGTCTGGAAACAGGTCTTACAGTGGTGAAAAGAAAAATATCCCTCAAGGAGTTATTGTACTATAATAAGCATATAATAAGTAAACAAATATCACAATTTCAAATAAGTGCTATGGAAAAAAAGAATGCAAAAAACATGGAGAAAGTTGTTTGCATAGATAAAAGCTTGGAAAGAAATGGACCAAGAGGTTAATACTAATTATTTATGGGTAGTGTTATTACAGGTGCTCTGCAATTTCTTTTCTTTTTTTTTTTAAGATTTATTTATTTATGCATACAAGAGCTGGGGCACAGGCCAGAAATGTGGGGGGTGAGAGGATCCACCAGAGACAGAGCGGGGAACAGAACAGGCAGACTAATTGAAATACACTGCTGAGGGGAGCAGCGGGGCGAGACAGGAGAGGTCTGCTGTGTCATGTGGGCTGCCCCCTGGCGGGCCGGGGATCAAACTCATGCTGCAGAGGCTTCGGATTGCTTCATAGTACAGTACTTAACCCCTTGTGCCACCAGGGAGGCCCAGCTTTGTAATTTCTTATTTTGGTTTTTACTTAAAAAAATTTCCATCATGCTTATTTTTTACTTTCTAATCAGAAAAATATTAATACCAATTTTTTTTGAAATAAGGAAATACTTCTGATTGAAAATGTGAAATTAGAGTGCCTCCCTGGTGGCGCAAGGGATTAGGCACCGCACTGTAAAGCTGTCCTCAGCCTCTGCAGCACGAGTTCGATCCCTGGGCCGGCCAGGGAGCAACCTCTCCTGACTCACCCACTGCTCCCTTTAGCAGTGTATTTCAGTCACTCTGCCTGTTCTGTTCCCCACTCTGTCTCTGGTGAATCCTCTCACCCTCCACACCTCTGGCCTGTACCCCCAGCTCTTGTATGCATAAATAAATAAATCTTTAAAAAAAAAAGAAAATGTAAAATTAGAGTGAATTATTGGAATGTAAATGTGGAGCTAGACTTAATAGGATATTTAAAGCTATACTTGTAAAATGTCTTTGTTTTGCTACCTGTTTATTTGCTACCTGTTAATCATCAGAGTTCACAAATATCATTGCTAAACCCATGCATTTTCTGGTATTTACTTAATTTTAGTATTAATTTCAAGTTTTGATAGGCAACATCTAGTCAAATGGATCATTGGCCTTTTTTACTTTGTTGGTTTTTTTTTTTTGCTATCATTAACTGTATTATTTAATTCTTTACCAGAGTCACTTCCTAATTGGAATATTAAGTATATCTATGAATTGAATTTTGTCTTTTTTACCTCAGGTATCTCAATAAGCCATCAAAAACATTTGTCTCGTGTTTACAGTTGGTAATTCTAATGTCTCCTTCTTAAGTTACAATTAAGAGACTTATAATTAAATATAAAAAACAAATGGGCATGAATTTGTGCCTATACATGGCATTCCATCCTAGATGTGATTAGTATGATTATCTTTTTTATAGTATTGCCTTGCTGTGACTTAACACAGAGTTTCTTTTGTACCTAAAGTCTTCTCAGCAGTATGATTTCTTGACAATTTTTATAACTATCATAGATTTGGTGGTACTATAGTTTAGGCCATTAGAATGAGGTGATTGGACACATTCCAAAAGCTAGACAAAAAATGGGTTATCAGAGGCTAATATTTTATGTTGTGTGGAGCCTGTGTTCAAACTTTTCAGTTGATGTTTTTCCAGAAAGAGCACTTTTCACAGATCTGACTGAAATAATTATCCAGTAGCAGGGCGGATTAAGTCTAAGATAACATACCTTATGTAAACCAGTTTTATTTACGTCAGAGGTGCCATTTAAGTGTAACTTATTATGATGATGATAGTGATGAATTCCGACTGACTGCTTGCTTCCGAACTGTGCATTTGTGTTTTTCAGGTAAAGCGTCACAATCTACTCCATATAATTGAGAAAGAGCTAAGAAATTAGTGACATTTCTCTTATTTATGTCAAATATGTAGTTGTTGTCTCAGATCTGAGAGTTTTCTACCTGCTCAGTTATGTGAAGTGGGAATCTGCTTCAGAGGGGAGAGTAGTCTATATAATCCAGTTAACTCTGTTTTTATTTCCTCGTTAGACTTACTTGTTAGACATTAGACTTTCTCTGATTGACATTAGAATGTGTAAAATTGTTATTTTTGTTTCAGATTTGGAGCTAGAAATAGAAGATATACTAGCCCACTGTCAGGTCACCAACACAAAATCATAAACCTTCTAAATTGTTACTGGCTAGAATTGGGACAAATTATCATTTGTAAAGTTAATAAATTTTTCTACCAGCTTATTTCAGTTCATGTGTTTGACATCTGAGTAATTTGTTTTAACATTTTGAGGTAGAACTCCCTGTTTTTCTTTATTCTACCCACTATGATTACTATAGATTTTTCACAAAAACTCAGCATAAACATACTACTTTTTATAGACCACTATTTGTATTGATTTTTCTCTTTTTTCCAAAAGACATTTGGAAACCAAGATCCATCATGATAAATATAAGAAGGGGAGAAGAATTGCCCTTTAATTACTATACATAACCAGATATTTATGGAAAATAATGTAGAAAAATCTGAAAAGTAGAAGGAAAAATAATGGATTATTAGAAATATCCACAGCTAATGAAGGATAGGTTAAGATTATAATGTCCATTTTAAAAAAATTTTTATTGAGACTTAATTCCCATATCACACAATTTACCCATTCAAAATATACAAATCAGTGTTTTTTAGTATATTCACAGGATTGTGCATCTGCCACCACAATCTAATTTAGAGCATTTTCCTCACCCCAAAAGAAACCCAGTTACTTCCAAATTAGCTTTCACTCCCTGTTCCCTTCTTGTCTCTATCCCAGTACTGTGCAATGCCAAATCTACTTTTTGTCCATAGAGTTGCTTATTCTGGTCATTTGCTATAAATGGAATCATGTGTTACACAGTCTTTTGTGACTGGCTTCTTTGATTTTGTATAATGTTTTTAAAGTTCATCTTTGCTGAATTCATGTATCAGTACTTCATTCCTTTTTATTACTGAATAATATTCCATTGTTTGGTTACTGCACATTTGGTATATGCATGCAGTAGTTGATAGCATCTGGGTTGTTTACATTTCTTGAGTTTTATAAATAATTGTGCTATTAGCAGTTGTATACCCATCTTTGTGTGGGCATTTATTCTCTAGTAGTGGAATTTTGGGGTCACATGGTAATTCAATGTTTAATATTTTCAGGTACTGCTAAGCTATTACTATTTCCATAGTAATATAAACTTTTCCAACACTTGCCCATCTTTTTGATTATAGTGGGTGTGGTGATTCAGTATACTTTTGATTTGCATTTTCTTGATGATTAATGATCTTGAATATCTTTTTATGTTCATATTGCTCATTTATATATCTCTTGTGGAGAAAATGTCTATTCAGATACTGTGTCCATTTTTTAAATTGGATTGTCTTTTTAATTATGAGTTGAAAGAATATTATGAATACAAGTCACATCAGATATATGACTTACAAATATTTTTCTCCCATTCTGTGGGTTGTCATTTCACTTTCTTAATGCCATCATTTGTAGCACAAAATATTAAATTTTGGTGTAGTCCAGTTTTTCTTTGTCTTTGGCTTTTGGTATAGTATCTAATAAGCATTTGGTTAATCTAAGGTCATGAAGATTTCTTCCTGTATGTTCTAAGAATTTTATAATTTTAGCTTATATTTAGGTCTGTGATCATGTTAACTTTTATATATGGTGTAAGGAAGTGGTCTAACAATTCTTTTGCATAGTTTTATTGGATAGCCACTTATTTCAACACCATTTGTTGAAAAGATTATTCTCATTTCATTGTATTATCTTGGCATTCTTGTAGAAGGGCAATTTACTGTAAATGTGAGGATTTATTGCCATCTTAACAATATTGTCCTCTGAGATCCATGAACATGGGATTTCTTCTTTCTTTTGTAATTTTATTTGTACAGTCATAAATTACTTTTATAATGCCTATTTTTTTATATTTGACTATACTGACCTACTAAAATTATATTAGTTTACAGAAGCCTAGGATTTTATTGCAGTCCACATTGTTTATTCCTGTAATAGATGAATTTGTTGTTTTATTGTTTGCTTATTCTTTAGGAGCCTAATTCTGAAGAATATTCATCGGCTATGATAAAGGAGAAAGAGAGAGAGAATTTGTTTTGGAAATATCAGAAGGATCACCTTCCTGAAGACAACATACCTTCTAGCAGAGTTCAGGTAAGACAGAATGAAACAGGTAGTATAATAGAAATTAAACTAATTATGATTTGGACTAGGGATGCTAGCAATGTTGTATTGGTTTGGGATTGCAGATTTAGGTTCTGTTAAATTGGCCAAAGACTATACTTTTACATTTTATTCTAGTTGTTTGTTTGACTTACCATATCCTTTTTAAGATTATTTTAGGATTCTCACAGAAACCTAGAGTATGGCTACTACCTGACATTCTGTATTTGATGTTTATGTTCATTTTTAGAAAGTGCAGTTCAAAAGCCCATTATTTGCTGTGATGGAAGAAGAAAAGCTAAAACAATTACAGTACCCTGAGGATATTCTCCCACAAACCCAGAACGATTTTCCAGAAGCCAAAGGTGATCTAGTAGAAACTGAGGGTGACTTAATAGGAGTCCAGAGTGTTAAGCCAGATACCCAGGCTATTGAACTGGAAGATCAAGCAGTTGTGCCCAAAACCCAGACCATTGAACCTGTTAATGAAGCTGTTAAAACAGATACTCGTGGTATTATGCCAGAAGCCCAAGCTAGTGAACTAGAAGATGGCAGAATTATGCCGGAAGTTGAGGATTTTGTACCCAAAGACCAGCATGTTCTCTCCAGTGATGAAAATTTTCTAATCCCATGGCAGGACCAGGATTTTCTACCTGAAGATCAGGTAAATAGAGTGCAAAGGAGATTTTGCAAGAATAAATAAGCTACTTAACCTATGGAGTGGAATTTGTAGGGACAGTGAGGCAGTTGATTTGGAGAGCCATAGTTGGATAAAATAGTTTCATTATTGATTTCTCAGATTTCCAGGGTTTTCATTAAATATTAAATTATGATTAGTAATAATCCCTATCTGGATTATTTACCTTTTTTTTGTTTAAATCTCCTTCATTAGGAAAAATATTTTTGGCAGCCATTGTTTACTTTAGTAGTTGAAATATAGATAAAGGATTAGCCTACCAGAGTCCAGCAGTATCTTCTACCCCGATTCCAAGGACAGCCTTCCCAAAGAAATCAGTTAGACCAAAAGGAGGTAGAAAGGGATCAACAACAAGTAAATTACTTAGGGTTGTGACTGGACCTTTATGGGATAAAGTATAGGGTTTTGTTTTATTCCATAAAATGTGCAGTTATACTCTGATCTCATGTAACTACACAGTTCCCCCTATAGCCTAAAGTATTAGTGCTTAACCTGTTTTTCTTAATTGAGCAATTGATATTTTCTGTTTGTTCTTTTTTAGAAAGCATATTGGAAGCAGCCAGCATTAATTGTGATAGGTAGGGGAAAGAGGGAGGTATTTCCTCTGGATATCCACCAGGATTTTCTGCATAGGCACAGAGATCATTCCTTCATCAGGGACAAGGTAGGACAGAAAGAGAGAGACCAGCAGGAACTGAATTGCTTAGGATTTAGTTTGGAGCTAGTAAAGATTATTCTCAGCTAGATTTCAGAACTGATTTTAAAAAGTATAGTTTTCTTTTTTTTTTTTTTGTCATTTATTTTATATTTCACCTGAGTTTAAAAAAATATTGTAAGGTTCTTGTAAAGCTTTAAATCTTTTTGCGTCATGTTTACTGGGCAATTTGTTATTTTTCCCTCCATTAGAAAGTGCTTTTTGAGGAGCCATATTCCTGGCTCCTCAAATGACAGATGAGAAAGGGAAAGAGGACTTTTTCCTGTCAGGTTATCAGTGTCTGCCTCCTACACTCCAGGATGAGGCCTGCATCAGCGATCAGGCAGAACAGAATAAAAGAGAAATAAACAGGAAGTAAAGTAACTGGGTTTTATACATTCTCAACAACTGGTAATTTGAAGTATCGTATCAGGTGTAAAAGACATTGGTCTACTGAACTATATCAGTCAAATAAGTTCTGTTGTTCTGAGGACTAATAAATCATGTTTATATTCTTACTGTAGAATCAGATTATTTTAATTTACTAAGATTATGCTACAACTTTTTGCCAAATCCCCTCAATATTACCACAAGCATATTGTCCCTATCTGAACAATATAGGGAGGAGTTGCAGATCCTAAATTACTTAAATTTGGGGGAATTTGTCAGATTAGCATGTACATGATTTGAGAATAAGAAGTTCTACAGAGTTGGGCTAAGAGGGTAATACCCTCATTCAGATCAAAGTATATCAAAATATCCTTACCTGGAATCATTTTCCCTGACATCCTCACTGAAGCCTACATTGCTGTGATTCTCATATTGCCCACATTAGACAATTTGTTTTCCGTTTTCTTTGTTCCTTCAGAATGTGTTTCTTGAGCAACCCTGGTATTTTATGAAAGAAGAGAGACCAAGAGAGGAAGTGCCTCTGGAGTATCATTACTATGTTAAACCTAAAATCCTGGACCAAGCCTCCCTTAGAGATGAGGTAAAGCAGAATACAGTGGGAGGATTGTCTCCTTTCTCAAAGAGTTAACAAAAATAAAATTACTAAAGATTTGGGTTGGCCCTTGTCAAGCCGACTTGTATGTAACATACATGGAACTAGGCTTCTAGAGTTTGGCTAAGAGTATCATGTTTTCAGTTATTTAAAAATGTACCAGATATAAGGATTTCAGATGAGAAAACATACTGCTATCACTTGGGCTAAAGAAAAGACAGATTTTTATATAATATTGGTGGGTTAATAGTAAATTATTTTTCTAAAACTTAAATCCTCAAGCATATTTTAGGCTTTATACATTCAGTCCTATTAACACTGAAGGGATTCTTCTCTTGGTTAACTGAACTGGTATACCAACATCAGGGATCCAGTTTACAAAACAATTATGATGAAGGACAAAACAAGCTGTTTGCTGCCTCAAAACTTCCTGGACTTCACCACCTTCTGTGTTTGTCCCTGAAGTTAACAGGGACCTTCAGCAGGAGTGCTTGTGGAAATAACACAGCTTTCCTAGTTTTACGTTGGGAAAATATTGGCAACTGTATAAAAATACTGTCTTGTTGCCTTTTCTTCCCTAAAATGTATTGTTAAGTGAAGAATTGCCCAGTGTAAAGAAAAAAAAGTATCAGAATAATGTGAGATTTGCCTTAAAATACTCCAGGAAAAAGTAGAAGAGATAAATGGAATATGTTGCTGATTGTTGAAGCTGCATGATAGATATCTTGAGATAAGTTATACTATTCTTTTTACACTTTGATGTATGTTTGGGAACTTTATACATAAATATGTACATCCCTAACTGTGTTATATCATCTTCTCCTAGTATCTTTATTTTGAGGTTTTCTCTAATTATCATTTTGTGAAGGCAGTTTTGTATTCGGTTGTTTCTTTAGAATAAGTATATCAAGCAACCCTCATCTTTTGAGAAATGGTCGATTGAAAGAGGCATTGCTTTGGGAGTGCCATCAGTTTGTTTCATCCAATATTCAAGACCTAGCCTCCATCAGAGAATAAATAGAACAGAATATAGTGAGGAGTTAGGAGCAGAGAGTAAATTGCTTAGCTTTAGCTCCAGATTGACAGGGTAATGTAGTAACTTCTTCAGGGATTTAATATTTAGGTTAATATTAAAGAGTCATGATATAATGATATCTTCTCCGTGATTTATCAGACCATCTGATCTATGGAAATTACTTCAGGTCTTTTCAGTGAAGCGTTTACTATTGCTTTGCTGTGATGCTCCTGTGGGGACAATTGATACTCAGTGTTTATGTTGTCTTTTAGCACAGAAGCTTTGGTTCTGCCGCTTGTAATGTGACAAATGAGAGCTGGAGAAAGGAGTTATTTCCAGAGTGCCATGAATATGTTTTACATGCAATGCAGGATCCATGCTCCGCCAGAGAGCAGGTAGAGTATAGTGAAGTGTAAGCAGTAAGAAGTAAATTAGAGTTTGAGCTGGACTTACCAGAGCTGTTTTAACAACAGTGATGATGATAGTGTTATCCCATATTATTACTATCAATAATGTTATTGATACTATTTTGAATAAGTATTTACATTTGCTAAGCACTTACCATAGGCAAAGAATTACAGAACTTTCTAGAACTTTGTAACTGTTATCTCTTGATTCTCACAATAACTCTGGGAGATAGATACTATTATTGTTCTTTTATAGTTGAAGAAATTTATGATTGCTTTCTAAATACAGTTAAGAACCATAATAGTGGCAAGAAGTATAATGTCTACTTTTATGCCATAATGTATCAGACTGTGAGTGCTTGTGTATATTTAGAACTTGCGCCTCAGACAGCAGCCACCTGTTGGAAAAGTTGAAAGATGGAGAGAAGATCTGTGTCTGGATGGCCGTCAGCCTCTTCCATCTAAGCACCAGCGAGAGGTTTCCAGCAGAAGAAAGGTAGCCCAGACTGTACAGTATGAGCAACAGGTTTCAACAAGATTATAGGTACCTACTGAGCTGGGAGCAGTAAGGCTGACCAAAAAGCAGATTCTTGTTTTATTTCAGGATAGGTGTATAAAAATCTACCTGACCTAAGATTACTTTAAGACTCTCACTAGAGAGCCTTAAAACCTAGAATATTATTGGAACCACTTGTTGCCTATTGGAAAAACTATGTTTTATGTGCTTGTTCTTTTATAAAAGGTTTAATTTTTGGTGGTTATTGTCTTTTATGGTGTGAGAGGGGAAGAAATGATTGGTTTCTGAGGAGGCAGGGTCAGGAGGCTTTTCTACCCAATGACCACAACTAAATCTCCATGAGTAAGCTGGTAGAGCATAAGGCAAGATTACCAAGAAATAAACTATTCAGACTTTGGGCTAGAACATGTTAAAATTATGTTGCCTAAATTTGGTGTATTGAATTAAGATCATGTCAACTTCTACAAAGTAGTCAACTGAAATTTTGATGGTGATTGCATTAAATCGATTGACCAATTTGGGGGAGTACTGCAATTTTAACAATATTAAGTCTTTCCATCCATGAACTTGAGACCGTCTTTTCATTTGTTTAGATCTTCTTTCTTTCTTTGACCAATGTTTGTAAGTTTCAGAGTATAAAATTTATTTTTCCTCTGTTAAATTTTTTTTTCAGTTAACAGCACCTTGTATTCTTTTTTTAAATTTTATTTTATATATATTTTACATCATTTTTCATTTTTGCACAATGTACGCATTTTCATCTTGGTTATAGTCACCATACAATTCCCGCTCCCCTTGTTTTGATCCTACTTCCTCTCTCCCCAACTGCTGTACTGTATCTCTGGTTTATAGTTGATTTTGTTGATTTTGATTTTTACTTTATTATAATTAGTCTTTTTCCTGGTCCCTTATTTTAAGTTTTCTAAATTCTTACTATGAGTGAGACCATCTGGTATTAAAGAACTAGACATAAGACCTGAAGCCATAAAAAACATAAAAGGAACTGTAGGCGAAATACTACGTGACATATACCTCAGTAACATCTTTAAAGACACATCACCCAAAGCAGTGATAGTGAAGGCAAAGATAAACACTTGGGACTACATCAAATTAAAGAGCTTCTGTACAGCAAAAGAGACAATAACCAAAACAAAGAGAAACCCCACTGATAGGGAGAAAATTTTTGCACACAACACTAATGGTAAAGGACTGATCACAAAAATCTACAAAGAGCTAATGAGACTCAACAAAAACAAAGAAAATAATCCAGTAAAAAAAAAAAAAGGGCAGTAGAGCTAAAAAGAAACTTCCCCAAAGAGGAAATCCTCTGTTAAATTTATTCCTAAGTCCTTATTTAGTTAAAAAAATTTCATTGAGATAGCATTGGTTTACAACTCTATGTCAAAGGTCTGCACATGGCTAGCTTTTGGCAGTTTTTATCACTTTGTGTGACTGGACTTTTCTGACAGGTTTGTGATGAATATCAATCAAGATTGAACACTAAATTCCAGAAAACACTGGCACTTCAGTCTGGAGTAAATCAAGAGGAAGACAGGAAAGAGGTATATAGTGATACTTTTGAACATCACTTTCTATTATAATAGTACGTGTGAAATTGGAAATTTTGTTGTGTCCTCACACAAGAACTAATACTACAGATTTCATAGATAAAGGCAAGGAAGTTGCTTGTGTCTTCATAATTTGTTGAACTTCTTTCCCAGTATTCTAGGATTCAGGGTACCTTCCGAAGAAATCAGTGATCTGATCCTAGTGAATTTCTCAGGTTGTGTATATATGTCCCACAAAGGAAGACTTTTAATTTATGCCTGCCTTTTTTTTCCTTTCTTTTCAATGTAAATTTAGTTTAAACCTACAGTTGTTAATATTGGCCGTGCACCAGAATCAGATGTGCAGCTTTTTTCAAAATGCAAATACCTGAATCCAAACTGGATATCCTGAATCAGTTCTGAAAAAAAGTAGGGTTGGAGCATTTGTGTTTTGAAAAATACCACTGATGATTGTGATTTATCCTCAGGATTGAAAACTGAGTCTACTAAAAGGGCACAAGCACTCACTGCACAAAAAAATTTGTGTATATTAGCGCTCTTTGAATAGTGTGTGTCCTTTAAAGAGAGTGTGTATACATAAGATATAAGCAGATCACACACAAGGTAGAAGCACTTGCTTTTACTTATTTTTTCCCTTTAGGAGTATGATAACGCTGGTGTTCCTCAGCCCTCTCCCTCATCCCCCCATATTTTGCTAGACTTAGAATATGCTTTTGTGGTATGGTTTTAAAAATTAAGGTGGCTCTTGGTCTTTTATAAAGTAGCTCTCGCATTCTTCCCCGAGCAGTTGCTGCTTGGGAACAGAGTAAATATAGTGTATATCTTATCACATCAAATATAATCAATTCCTCAAGTACTGTAAGGGATTATCTAAGGGTAAACTAACTTAGGACTTCTTTCTCTGCTTTGTCTGCAATATCTAATAGCTGTGTGCTTGAAGATATAAAGCATTTGCTGTATGTCATATTATCCTGAGTCATCAAAAAATAGAAGGAAATTAAGTACTTAGTTCCATGTGACTTATGTGTCATATCACTTTTTTTGTCTATGACGCAGAGTATTTTCCTTCCTAGTAACAATTTTAACCTCTTTCCGTTAGCGTCAAAAGCAATACCTGTGGTATAGGCGACTTTTCATGGATATTGAAAGAGAACAAGTAAAAGAACGACAAAGACAAAAAGAACTTAAGAAGAAAATTGAAAAGTAAGTTCTTTGATCCTCATTGTGAACCTTAATTATCAATTAAGATGATTTCTAGAAATAATGAGGCCGTTTTACCTCCTGAACCATAGTGGAAAAAACTTTTTGACATTGGTAAACTTATTAAAAGCAAGCAAAGAACTTTTTTTTCAAAGAGACTTATTTTTTTAAGAACAGATCTAAGTTCACAGTAAAATTGAACAGAAAGTACAGAGAATTCCTGTTTGTTCCTAGCCCTACAAATGGACTACCTCCACAACTATTAACATTCACACTACAGTAGTACATTTGTTGCAACTGATAAACCTATATTGACACATTATTATCACCCAAAGTTCATAGTTTACATTAGGGTTCATTCTTGGTGTTGTGTATTTATGGGTTGGGACAAATATACCCACCATTATAGTGTACAGAATAGTTTTATTGTCTTAAAAATTCTTTGTACTCCACCTCTCTCCTCCCTACCCCAGAAACCATTAAACTTTTTTTCTTCTTTTTTTTTTTTTTATTTTTGTATTCCCCATACAATTGCAACCCTAATTTTGACCCCAGTCCCTCCTTCCCCCCCCCCCACAAAGAGTGTCTCTGGTTCATAGTTGTTTGTTGATTTTGATTTTTTTCTTTCTTATAGTTACTCTTTTTCCTGGTCCATATTTAGGTTTTCTAGATTCCTGTTATGAGTGAGACCATCCGGTATTTTTCTTTTTCTTTCTGGCTTATTTCGCTGAGCATGATCCCTTCCAGCGCCATCCATGTTGCTGCAAATTGCATGAGTTTATCTTTTTTGAATGCTGAGTAATATTCCATGGTGTATATGTACCACATCTTCTTGATCCAGTCATCTATTTTTGGGCATTTGGGTTGTTTCCAAAGCTTAGCTATTGTAAATAGTGCTGCTATAAACATAGGGGTGCAGGTGCTCTTTGGAATTAATGAGAAACCGTTAAACTTTTCACTGTCTCCAGTTATACCATTTTCAATGTCATATAGTAGGAATCATACAGTGTAGCCTTTCATATTGGCTTTTTTCACTTAGTAATATGCATTTAAGGTTCCTTCACTGCCTTTTTTTTCATAGCTTGATAGTTCATTTCTTTTTAGTGCTTAATAATAATTTCATTGCATGGATGTATCACACTTTATCAATTCACCTACAAGGACATCTTGGTTGCCTCCAAGATTTGGCAGTTATGAATAAAACTGTTGCATACATCCATGTGCAGGTTTGTGTGGACTTAAGTTTTCAGTTCCTTTGGGTAAATAACATTTACTGAGTCAACTGGTAAAAATATATTTAGTTTTGTAACAACTGCAAAATCATCTTCCAAAGTGCTCTATTATTTTTGCATTCTACCAGCAGTGAGTGAGAGTTCCTGTTGCTCCACACCCTCACCAGCATTTAATGTTGTCAGTGTTTTGGATCATTCTAATATGCGTGTTAGTAGTACCTCACTGTTGTTTTAATTTGCAGTTCCCTAATGTTAAAGATGATGTGGAGCATCTTTTCCTGTGGTTATTTGCCATCTGTGTATCTTCTTTGATGAGATGTCTAGATCTTTGGTCCATTTTTTCAATTGAGTTGTTTTCTGATTTTTGAGTTTTAAGAGTTCTTTTTGAGTTTTAAGAGTTCTTAATATTTTAGAAATAGTCCTTTATCAACAGGTGTGTCTTTTGCAGATCATTTTCTCTTACTCCATAGCTTTAATTCTCATTCTCTTGACAATGCCTTTTGCAGAGCAGAGGTTTTGAATTTGAATGAAGTCCAACATATCAATTACTTCTATTGTGAATTGTGCTTTTTGTGACAATGTGAATGAACCTTGAGTGCATTATACTAAGTGCAGTAAGACAAACTGAGAACTTTATGATATCATTTATATGTGAAATCTTAAAAAGTCAAATTTATAGAAACAGAATAGATTAGTGGTTGCCAGAACCTGGAGGATAGAGAAAGTGAGAAATTTTCTCATTTTCAAGCTTTTAGTTATAACAGAGTAGTTTCTGGGAATCTAATAATATTCAGCTTGGTGACTGTAGTCCACAATTCTGTATTTATGCTTGAAATTTGCCAAGAGTAATTCTTAAATGTTCTCATCAAACATACTCATACACACAACACAAGATAACAATGTGAGGTGATGGTTGTGTTATCTTATTCTGGCAGTCATTTTATGATATATGTGTATATTAGATCATCTCACTGTATACCTTAAAGTTGCACAATATTATTTGTTAATTATATTCAATTCAAAGCTGGGAGGTGGGAGGATGTGGATTCCAAAGAACCTCCCTTCTTACGCAGTTCTAGGAGTGATTCTGCATTTATTCGGCAAACATTAATTTGGCATCTTTCATATCCTGGCACTGTGCTAGGCACAACTTCCAAGATACAAAGAAAAATACAATATGGTTCCCTTTCTGACAAACTCATAATCTAAGGTAGATGAGGTAACAACTGTATACAAATAAATAATATCATTAGTACAAGAGAAGAAGTAGATAAAGAATCCTTGAGAGAAGGGTTACTAATTCCATCTGGAAATTTAGAGAAATTATTATATTTCAGATGTTCCTAGATGGGTAAATGTATATTTATTGGGGAAGTGGGGAAGAATGGTGAAGGAAAAAAAATTAACAGGAACTGAATCAGGGTAGAAGGAAATAATATACACGCAGAATTTTATAATTTATAAGGGCTTTCATATATTATCTTGCTTGATACTTTTTATAATCAAACAAACATTTATTGAGCGCCTTCCACATACCAAATACTATACTCTATGCTGAGAATGTAAAATGTGAATATATGGCAATATAGTGGTTCATAGTACAGGTTTAGAATTAGACTTAGATTTGAATTTGCCATTTTTGGGATATGTTTCTTCACCTCTGAAATTCAGTATTCTTTTTTTTTTTAATTTTATTTTATTTTTTAATTTTTTAATAATAAATTTTATTTTTATATTCCCCATACAATTGCAACCCCCCCATTCTGACCCCAATCCCTCCCTTCCCACCCCCCCACCCCCCAAAAAGTGTCTCTGTTTCATAGTTTTTTGTTGATTTTGATTTTCACTTTCTTATAGTTATTCATTTTCCTGGTCCCTTATTTAAGTTTTCTAGATTCCTGCTATGAGTGAGACCATCCTGTATTTTTCTTTTTCTTTTTGGCTTATTTCGCTGAGCATGATCCCTTCCAGCGCCATCCATGTTGCTGCAAATTGCATGTGTTTATCTTTTTTGAATGCTGAGTAATATTCCATGGTATATATGTACCACATCTTCTTGATCCAGTCATCTATTTTTGGGCATTTGGGCTGTTTCCAAAGCTTAGCTATTGTAAATAGTGCTGCTATAAACATAGGGGTGCAGGTGTTCTTTGGAATTGATGTTTCTGTGTCCTTTGGGTAGATACCTAGGAGTGGAATTGCTGGATCATATGGAAGCTCTATGTTTAGTAGGTCCAGAAATCTCCACACAGCTCTCCATAGTGGTTGGACCAGTTTGCACTCCCACCAACAGTGCAGAAGAGTTCCTTTTTCTCCACACCCTCGCCAACATTTGTTGTTGCTAGTTTTTTTAATATGTGCCATTCTCACTGGTGTAAGATGGTATCTCATGGTAGTTTTGATTTGCATTTCCCTGATGACAAGTGATGTTGAACATTTTTTCATATGCCTGTTGGCCATTTGCATTTCCTCTTCAGAGAAGTTTCATTTTAGCTCTTCTGCCCATTTTTTGACTGGATTATTTTCTTTGTTGTTGTTGAGTCTCATCAGCTCTTTGCAGATTTTTGTGATCAGTCCTTTATCATTAGTGTTGGGTGCAAAAATGTTCTCCCAGTTGGTGGGGTTTCTCTTTGTTTTTGTTATTGTCTCTTTTGCTGTGCAGAAGCTCTTTAATTTGATGTAGTCCCAGCTGTTTATCTTTGCCTTCACTATCATTGCTTTGGGTGATGTGTCTGTAAAGATGTCTTTGATGTGCAAATCACGTAGTGTTTCGCCTATATTTCCTTTTATATATTTTATGGTTTCAGGTCTTATGTCTAGTTCTTTAATCCATTTTGAGTTGATTTTTGTGTATGGTGTGAGGTAGTGGTCAAGCTTCATTCTTTTGCATGTAGCGACCCGGTTTTCCCAGCACCATTTATTGAACAAACTTTCTTTGCTCCAATGTATAGTCTTTGCTCCTTTGTCAAAGATTAGTTGACCATAAATCTGTGAGTTTATTTCTGGATTTTTTTTTAATAGAGGCATGTTTTATTTATTTATTTGTTTGTTTGTTTGTTTATACATGCACTGGGCACAGTCAGAAGCGCGGGTGGGTGAGAGAATTCACGAGAGCCAGAGCAGGGAGCAGAACAGGCAGAAGGACCAAAGTACACTGCTGAGGGGAGCAGTGGGCTGCAGGAGAGGTCTGCGTGCCATGTGGGACCCTCCTCTGGTGGCCGGGGAGCAGCTGGGGATTGAACCCACACCGCAGAGGCTGCGGGCAGCTTCGCAACCCAGCGCTCAACTGCTGCGCCACCGGGGAGGCCCTATTTCTGGATTTTCTATTCAATTCCATTGGTCTGTATGTCTGTTCTTGTTCCTATACCATGCAGTTTTGATGATTATGGCTTTGTAGTATAGTTTGAAGTCTGGGAGTGTGATGCCTCCATTCCCTTCTTTTTTTTTTCAGGAGAGCTTTGGCTATTCGGGTTTTTTTTGTGATTCCATATGAATTTCATCAATAATTGTTCTATTTCTTTGAAGAATGACATTGAAATTTTGATTGGAATAGCATTGAATCTGTATGTTGCTTTTGGTAGGATGGCCATATTAATAATGTTTATTCTTCTAATCCATGAGCAGGGGATGTCTTTCCATTTCTTTGTGTCTTCTTCTATTTCTTTTAACAGTGTTTTATAGTTTTCTTTGTATAGGTCCTTTACCTCTTTTGTTAGATTTATTCCCAAATATTTGATTTTTTTTCGTTTCAATAATAAAAGGGATGGTTTT